AAAAAAAGTGATTCCCCCAACACCCTATTCACTAGGCTACTACTTTAATGTAAAGAGTCATTTTTTATTACTTCCTATGATAAGCAAGCATACTACATCACAGAAAGTGCTGGGAATATTTAAGTTCTCATTTTGTTTTATTTCAGACCTTAACAAACAGATTGCTCAAACTTACAAAACATTGAGTCGAACAAGTTCTGTAGCTTTACAAAATGAATATGCTACAACTTCTGTAAAAATGAATAAATAAAATATTAAAAAATAAAATGTGTGCTTCCTGTTTTACAGAAGTAGCTATACAAAACAGACATCTTCTGTTAAAATAAGTGTTTTCAGTGCACAGTAACGTAAGCAATACAGTAACAGTACAGTCTTACAGTAATGTAAATTTACATACTACTAACAAAAAAGTGCAATCTTACAACTGTAAAGTTGCATAAACTCCTGAATAAAACTAACTACGTAGCCTCTAACACTGGCCAATCATTCACCATCCTCATCCTCCATCCCCTCTCCCTCAGTGTCCATCTCCTCCCCCTCCACCATCTCCTCCCTCTCAAATGCTCCACTGCGGACTCGTTGGTTATGGTAAAGGAAGACCAAGGCTTTGAGGTTTTGGTTGGTAGTTGATCTTCGGTTAGACAACACTAGTTTGTAGATGCTGTTGCTGCGTTCAGCATCAGCTGAGTTTGAGACAGCATCTTTGTACCGCTTGGCCAAGGAACTCAGCACAGGAAGTCTCTCCTGTAGGCCATCCCAAAACACAACCAAATCCACCACGCCGAATGGTGCAGCTCTGAGTGCTGCTGGACCAAGTGTCTTGAAGTAAGAATCAAATTCATCACCCTGCAGATCACTGTTACAACTCAGTGGGCTCACATGATATTGACTTCTCCAAGACAGAGGTTCTCTGCAAGCCATCTGGCTATCATGAGAGATTCGTTCATGAGGCGATCCACATATACAAACACAGAGACAATTTCAACCGAGAAGATGGATTCTGGCTTAGCAATCATTGGAAGGACGTAATAAACCATTTCGGATCTTAACTGATTGTGTTCACGTTTACGGTGACTTTCAGACCGCGTTCCACTCACTGGCATGGTGCAGTGTGCAGAGTAATGTATGGTGTCGTAATTGTATAGTAAACATATAGCAGTGTGATACACATTAGGGTGGGTAGAATAATACATAGTGTTATATTAAAATGGATAAGGCAGCAACTGCAGCAGCAGCAGCAAGTGCAGCAGCAGCAGTAACAGCAGCAGCAGCAACTGCAGCAGCAGCAGCAACTGCAGCCGCAGCAGAAACTGCAGCAGCAGCAACTGCAGCAGCAGCAGTAACTGCAGCTCCCTTTGATGCTGTTAATCCTGCATAATGCGCATGCATATGCAGTACTAATCACATTCCTGCATTTCCCATAAATATGCTAAATTCCTTTTGATATGCAAATTCCTTTGTCAATGCGCCCAGCTTATATATATGCTCCAAGCTCGTGTGCTGTTTCATTCAGACTCTGTCGCCTCGACGGACCTGGTTTTCACCTGAGGACGGCTGCTTGCGTTGTGGCCGAAACGTCGTGAGAATTGTTTTATTATGTTTTATTTTTATTATTTTATTACTTCCCTTCTACGTGACTTTACCGAAAGAACCAAGAAGAGACATCACCCTGCACTTCAGTGAAACCTGGAATGGCCTTGTAGCTTGCTACGGAGTCATCTAGGAATGCAATGTGGCGAGGGTCAAACACCCTAACCTCCTGGAGAAACTCAATGGCCGGCTGCCCATGTGACATGTACTTGGTGAGCTTTTCTTCAGCGTTTTCATATGCCTGACCAACTGTGCAGAGGATCTGTGTCTTTGTGGTGTAAGGTAAGTTAAACCCTTCAAAGTATTCGGCACACGCCTCATACTGCAGCTCTTTGTTGGCAGCAAAGACCACCTGCAGATCCTCCAGATAAGTGAAGATCTTTGTGGTCACAGGACGTCTGCTCTGGAAGATATCGAGAAGACTTAGGAAGCGTTTGCACTTGTCAGCCATGATGTTGATCTGGACATTCAGGGACTGAGCTAGGTCTTGGTCTTGAAGCATCTCGTGGAGTCTCTCCGCAGACTGTGGAGCACTTCTGCTACACACCTATAAAAACACAAATAGAAAGAAAGGAATTAGGTCAAACATACAATATGTTCAATGCAATTAATTTTTTTACTTTGATCTTACTAAACTATTCATGTTTGTATGTGCAAAGGGGGTTAACTGATGAAGAAAAGGAAGTGTTAATTGTATTGAGGAATTATGTGAAGGAAGTTTTTACCTCGATTTCCATCTCTATGAACTCCTTGTACAGTCCAAAGTGCTGTGCGTGGTGCTGCACTGCAGAGAACCAGGAGTTCCAGCGTGTTGCACAGGGGTTTGGAGGCATGACCGTCTTTTTTCTAGGCAGCTTGTTTGACAAGAAGCAGAGGTATCTTCTCTTGCGTGATCCAGCATTGAAGAACATCTGGGAGAAACTTAGCATGAAGCTGTTCAACTGAACAAAAGGTTTGCGGAAGGCATTGCTAATGAGATTCATTATGTGTGCCATGCATGTGATGTGTATCGAGTTGGGGAACAACGACTGCAGAGCTGCTGTGAATGCCTTCTTCATGTAGGCTGCATTATCAGTGTCGAACACAATCACATCCTCGTTGTTAATGCTGTATTCTTGAAGGCACCTTACAACAGACATGGATACAGTGGAATGATTGCATTGCTCAAGGAAAACAGTATCTGCAAGGTAGGCCAAGATCCTCCCAGAATGATCCTTCTCAAGTGGTGCAAGGAGGATATTCAGGACACATCTCCCCTCGACATCTGGAGTCTCATCAAATATCACAGCAAGAGGTTTTCTGGCAAGAAGTGTCTTCAGCTCCTCTTTATCCTTCTCATATACTGCTCCCAAGTACATATCTTGAAGCTGGTGAAACCCTGGAATGGCGCCGCCATTGATGACTTTCTCATTCAGAAATTTCCTCAGTGCAGGGTGGTCAGTCTTAGACAGTGGGATGTTGATGGCAGTGCAGGTGGCAACCCAGGTTTCACAAATCTACAAACAGAAAAATACTTTTGTATCATTGGGCTGTATTACACACACACACACACAAAGTCCAGTGTAACCTACAGAAAACTGCTGTATAAAACTGAATCATTTACAATAAGCCTTTCACAGAACAGTAGTGTTTCTGCAAATAAAACATAATTCTTTCATGCCAAAATCAATCATCTTGCATGGGAAATTACACTACTGTTAGTCTATCTAACCCTAACGTTAACTTACATCCACACAACATACTTGGAAATCTCATTCACACACACCTCTCTCTGTTTCAATTTAACTATCAGCCTTTTCATAATTTTACAAGCTTTAATCTAATAGGCTACTGACCTTGATTCTTTCAGCCCTAGCAACTGTTTTGGAAGTTGACGCCTCAGTGTAGGTGAGCTGCTTCATCTTGGCTGATTCCGCTGCTGCTTTAACCATCCTCGAATGTTTGTCGGTTGTAAAGTGACTGTCCAGCGTCGACTTCCGCCTGTGGTCCAACACGCAGTTGCACGGAGTGCAAAATAATTTGCCCCCACTGTCATGTAACACACTGGGAAACTGCTTTGCGCGGTCTTTTGCGCTTATGTTTGTTGGCAAATGAGAAAGATTTGCGGGCTTCATCATGGTTTCATTGGCATCGCGGGGTTTGCAGCTTTTCAATGATGTCGCGTAATGAGTGACGTCACTTCATAACGTTCCCATGGCAACAGGGGAAATGGCTGCGCTTGTGTGAAGTAAACGCAACATTTTTCAACTTTCTGCTAAGATATATGTGACTTTTTGAAACGAAAATGCGGGGATTATGAAATCATGCAAGCCCGCATATTTTGCGCGCGGAAATCTGCAATTTATGCGGAGAAAGTGCGGCGTATTTGAAAAAACGCGCCCCCGCATAAATATGCGGACTTTGGCTGATTTTGCATAGAATCATGCGATCGCATAATCGCGTTTTTCTGGAGGGACTGAGTAACAGATGAATAAACTTATTTAAGGCACACACTGGTTTATTGTCTTTCTTCCATCACAGTCCCTATACACACACAGAGGGATATACGGTTCCCTCACCCGAAGCCTGAGGAGGTACAGCCTCCATACCTAGCGGGACCTTTACACGGCTCTGACTGCTAGCCTAGGGAGGTACAGCCTCCAAACTGGCGGGAGCTATTCCCAGTCTACCCGCTACCCTAGCGTCCTCCGGCTGGGACCTAGGGGAGGCTAGCTTGACCCATCGCTGGCTCGATGGGTCCCCTTGACCACTCGAACACTGAGCATTAGCTCCTACAAGAGCTGGAAGGCTTGGTCCAGGGTCCTAGCTTCTTCAGCCGGGCTTCTGTCTTTGTGTGAGGAGAACCGCGGGCGCTCCCCGCACTCGCCCTTTTATACCCGTTTGTAACGGTCCTTATCCAATCCCACGGTCCCTCGTGGGACCCTCTGATTGGTTCTTTACAATCTGCATTTTTGGTCTTCTTTTATCTCATCTGGCCCCTGGCCGTTGGTCTGGTGGGAATCCATGTTTACGATCCGCTCTCACCTCTCTCTGACTCCGGCCGTTGGTCCCAGAGCGGTAACACTGCATTGCCCCTCTAATACATAGCGGCCCCGCAGGTTACCGAATAGAATGTCTAGCACCTCTACACATTTATTAATTGGCTGTGTCGGGTGGAGGAGGGTATACTACACACATTTTATTTACATAACCGAACCCAAAAGAAACCAATTGTGAGTCGCATTGGACTTTAAGCCCTATGTATAAATATAGTAGTAATATATACATCTTCTTGGTTCTTTCGGTAAAGTCACGTAGAAGGGAGATAATATAATAATAAAAATAAATATATACATGTTAATATATAAATATTAATATATACATGTTAATATATACATATTAATATATACATGTTAATTGTATTCTGTCAGGATGGACCAACAGGTGTTGCAGACCTCCGTGTGAACGCGGGGTTTACCTCTTCATCCAGGTGAGAGGGGCATTGCTTCTCACATGCGCTCACACATTCACACACGAAGGCACTCATAAAAACAAAGATCGCCAATGTAGCCTTTAGCAGACTGCTTGAGCGAGTGCTGTTAAGGGGCCATCCATTTTGTATGTACGCAAAAAATCTGTTAAAACTTGACCCCTCCCCCCCTCCCTGTATGCACGCACGCACACGTACTTTTTACACCCCCCCCCCCACCTGCGTAGGTACGCCTGACGCCCCCTCCCGCCTCGAATCCTATAGAACGGCCGACATTTAATCCACGCAAAAACGATCAAGGATTTAAGCAAACAGATAGTCCACTGCCGGACTATGTAACTCATTTGAAGGCCAATGTAGACAAATTATTATCGAGGCTTCACCCCCCCCCCCCCCGTTTCCTATGCGTACGTACATTGTCAGTAGACCCCCATACGCAAACGTACGCATTTGGGTTAACCCCCCCCCCCCCCATGCGTACGGACTCAATGGATGGCCCCTAACGAGTAGCACCTATGAAGGCCGGCAACAGGTGGGTGGCCAGAACCCCATCTGGGGCCGCCATTGACTCCCCAGTTCCGATGTTCACACACCACACCAGGTACTCATTTAAGGCTTATTCGACCTAGTGGTGGGCCAGGACCGGTTCAGATATATTCGTCACTGATATTGATCACGAGTGGAGATCGAACTCGGATCACTGGGTATGCTAATTTCACCACCACCGCTAACGCACTCCACACACATGCGCTCGCTCTCGCACGGCCGTTCACGCACACGTGCACCCGCACTCATTCACGCGCACGCAAACTAAAACCTCGCACGTCAGCGTGGGCAGTGTGAATTTGAGCCCTGGGTGTGGGTTTTGCGGTGAGCAGGCGCGAGCGTCGGGAGAGGAGGCTGCTCGTAGCGGCAGCGGTGGACGCGGCGGTGGTGACGGGCAGAGAAGATCCGGAGCTGAAGATGTCTTGAGATGTGTCATCTCATCGAGTCCTCTGCTTGTCTTGTTTTTACTGTTAATTGTTACTCGTGTTCACTTCGTGGTGCATATTTGTTCAGGGAAAAATAAAAACCACGGTCATTTGACTCGAGACCCCTCCCCCCCATCAGACACCGTTCATCATAGACGGGTCTGTCAGTCTATTGTCGAGACATTCCACGAGTGACCAGCCTTGGGGCTTCGCAACTTCACCAACCTGCACTTACAAGAGTGGTAAAGTATCGTCAAACAACCCCCATGACTGACACGGTGTGGAAGGAGCCTTCATCCAGTCATGGATTGACAAAGGGCTGTTTTTCTTTTTTACAAAATCCATAACAACACGGAGCATAATTCAAGAGAGCTATAATTACCCCATTTGACAAAAATAATTACCAAGATCCCCAGTGAAACAAAAGAAAAATAAATCCCAATGAGCTCCGGCCTGGTTAAATAAAACGTAGATTTATTGATATATAAGTGAGCCGACAGGCCCTATAACGCACAGCGCTCCTCGCATATACAGCGCGCACGAACAAGCAAATACAATATGCGGCCGAGTTGTGTATACATCGGTGTTTGCTTTCGTTCCGATTAATTGAAGAACGCGGCGATCCCCTCGCGATGACCGCTACCAACCACCGGACGTGAGAGTTGCGTGTGACAGTAGCCGAGGAGAGAGTTGGAAGTGGTGGATGGGAGTGAGTTGATGTGATAGATATGGCGGAACCTGTAGTTAAGGTTGACCAAGTGCACCTCCTACCCCCCATAACATCCGTCTCATTCCGTGTCTCTGTCGGTCTACTTGTCTTGGTGTATGTCGTTCGCCTTGTCTATGCGTTGTATTGCCTCTCATCTTGTCACTCTTCATACCCTGCCCCCCACCCCCACATGTATTTTGTTCTGCTACATCTGCCTGGTGATACTCTTTGGTTCTTTCGGTAAAGTCACGTAGGTATAAAATAAATTAAATCACGACGTTTTGGGCGCAACACAAGCGTCCGTCATCAGGTGGGACAACCACAGCAATAAACAATTGCTGAAGTGGGCAAAAGGGCTGCTGTAACAAGAGGCCATATAGGTAAGAGAGGGGGAGGAGCAAGGGGGGAGAGAGAGAGAGGGGGGGGGGTAGGGAGAGTGGGGAGCAAGCACGACAATATGCCGGGGCTGGAAGGATGTTATTAACCAGGTAAAACCTTAACTGCTTTATAGTTTGCCTTCATATCCGCATCTCCAGTTTCTTCAGCCTACTACCCCCAGTCCCGCTCACTTCCCAGCCCCGGCATTTTGTCGTGCTTGCAGCTCCCCACTCTCCCTAACCCGCACCCCCATCCTCTCTATCTCTCCTCCCTGGTTCCTCCCCCCTCTCTTACCTATATGGCCTCTTGTTTCAAGCAGCCCTTTTTCCCACTTCAGCAATTGTTTCTTGCTGTGGTTCCACCTGATGACAGACGCTTGTGCTGCGCCCGAAACGTGATTTAATGTATTTTATACTAATGAGACTTTACCGAAAGAACCAAAGAGTATGGATCCCTGCAGTCACGAAAACTTCAAATTTAGACTGCCTGGTGATGTTTGTGAGAGGTAATTTGGTGGTTGGTTGAGAGGTCGATCTGTAGTGGCTTGTTGAGAAGTTCCTCTGCAGTGGTTGAGAGTTTGATCTGCGTTGGTTCGTGTGGCCAAGTGGCAGACGCTGCTGGCTTTTCGGCACAGGTGCATGTGGAGGTCTGACATTTCGTTACAGCAGAATAGGGTAAAAGCAACTCTCAACTTCAATATAAATCTTGGCAACAAAAGCGCTGTGAATGTGATCAGGAGTGGGATGTTGTACGTAGTGGGAGGCACGCGTGTGCAGGGTGTAGGAGGAAGAGGAGGCCAGGTTTCCGAGTCCAACAGAGAAGTGGCACCCAGAGCTTCTGGCGATCAAGGGAGGGTAAAATCTGAAGCCGCCAGATAATGAGTGGTGTTGCGATTGTAGGAGTGGACATCAGAGACTGGGCATTGACTCGTGTTGCCACAGTTTCCGGATACAAAACCCGGACATGTTTGTCAGTCGGCTTTGGGTCTAATTATTTATCAAAACTGTGCACTGTGCTGTAATAAAGTTCAACTCGATTCCCGCAACCAAATCTCCGTGCCAATTCAAACCCGGACAAGTGGCAACCCTCATGTTGTCTGTGGCAGCTGCACAATCTTGCGGCGGGGGGAGGAGTGGTGGCCTCCACATCACTGGACACGATCACCTCTTCCATGCGACCTTCGGTTCAGCTGCAACTCCCATTGCCAAATTCCCCCGAGCTGGTGCCCTTGGGAGTGGCACTTACAGCGTCTTTATGCTCCGGCTCAGCCTGAACTCCCTCCTCCTCCTGCTTTTGCTGCCGCTGCCGCCGACAACACTGGGCTCGGGCTGGGCTGCGGATACCTCGGGTGGGTCGCGGGGGTCATCGGTTACCGGGGCGAGACAGGCGGCCGACCATCGCGGGGGCCTCTCCCGCCGGGTCGCCTCTCCCCCCGCGTCGCCCCTCTCCTCCCCGCCTACTCCCCACGGCGCCCCTCCCCGCCGCTCGCCCCGCTGCGACGGCACAGGCGGCGCGCTCACGCACACCTGCAGGCGCGCGTGCCGCTCGCGCCGCTTGCGCGTCAGCGTGTCGCGGTGCTTCACGCGGAACGCGTTGAAGGCGCGCGAGCGGCCCGTGCCCTGCTGCTCCTGCTGCTGGCCCTGCCGGGCCCCGGTCTCGTCGGCCCGTACCGCTCCTCCTTCTGCCGCCGCCGTGTCAATGCGCGGCTCCACGACGATGGCGATGCGGCAGCGGAAGGCGGCGGAGGGGGCCGACGCCGCCGTCTGCGAATCCGCGGAGCCCACCGAGGCCTCCAGAAGCGGCAGTGGAACGGCGACGAAGGGCGCGGGACCGCGAGGTCCGCACGGGAAGAGGCGTAGCGGCAACGCCACCCGGGCGGACCCCCGCGCGGCCACGCGCACCGTCAACTGGGCGGGCGGCGGCGCCGGCGCGGGGTCACCGCCGGGGGCCGCGGAGCGCGAGGAGACGGCGGCGGTGATGGTGGAGCCGGCTCTGGCGCGGGATCGCTTCTCGTTGCCCGCCCACCGCTCGGTGTCCGGCTCGTCGGCGCCGCCAGCGTTGCCGTGACCGGTGCCGCCGTAGCTCTTCTTCTTGCGCTTGGGAGAGAGGAGGGAGAGGGGCCGCGGGGGCGCCGCACCCTGGGAAGGGAGGGGGGGGGGGCGTGGGAGGGGGCCACGGGGTGGCGTTAGAGGAATATGCGACCACACTGACCAGCAGCTATAGTAACTACACTCCCAGGCTGTGTGGCCTGGGTTGCGCGGCCTGCGCTACGTGATGCGCTCTAACACTACTGTGTGGGGAGTGCGTCGTGGTGACGATAACATTGACACCGACGATGATGAGGGTGATGTTACTGATGTACGACTCCACTCACCGCACTCTGCACGTCTCTCCTTCGTGCCGTCGTGTCCTCGCCCCCTGCCGTGTCGTCTGTGAACGCGCCACACAATCGCCGCCGCCGCGGTCACACTCGCGATGGCTCCTCGCACGCGCCACGTTGCACCACCACAGCCTCGCACCATGTCCCACCGTGTCCCACCGTGTCCCACCACACAAGACCCTCTACATCACAACCTCACACTCTCCTATGCACATGGAACAAATAATTCGTACACACATCACACCACACGCTCAACACAAGACAACCTCGATACAAACCCCACATCACAACCTCACACACTTCCTATTCACATTGCACAAATTAGTACACCCAGAATGGCACACCCCACACAGTCTCTTGCACTCACACTCTATTCACACAGATCGTCCCTGTCACACACACACCACCATTTCACCCTCCCACCTATGCACACAGAACATCCATTACACACCACCACTACACTCTCCCCCCCCACCTGTTCACACAACATCCCTTACACATCACCACTACTCTCGCCTATGCACATAGAACATCCCTTACACACCACCACTCACCCATTAACACAGAACATCCCTTACCACCACCACTACACCCTCCCTCCCGTATATTCACACAGGACGTCCCTTAGACACACCACCACAGAACCCACCCCCCTATTCACACAGAACATCCCTTACACACACACGCCGCCACCACCACAGCACCCACCCCCCTATTCACACAGGACATCCCCCTCTACACCCCTCCCCCCACACCCCCCAAACATCACAACACAACCATCCCTCTCGACCCGCTCATTCAGAATCCATTAAACAACAAAGTCTGCTCGTGCAATCGTAACCACGGCACTTAGGAGCACTTAGTTCCCCTGTGTGTGTGTGTGCACTCAGCTCGTCTGCATTGATAAACAATGAAATGCAAATGTTTGTTGCAATTAAATATTAATATCTCCACTCTTTGCGTGTGTGTAATCGGACACGTGCAGCTCCGTCGTCGATCCACTGCTGGATGAGGGAGGTCTCCCTTCCCCAAGCCGTTGCGGGTCATGGGGGGTGGTGGTTATTTGACCATACTTCACCACACTGGTCAGTGCGGGCTTGGCCAAGGTGGGCGGGTGCATAGATGGATATGAGAGCACAGTACAACTATTGATTTTGCTACACATGTATATCATGTGTACAGATTTAAAAGCAATGGGATTTCGATGTTGCTATGATGACTGCACTTGTTAATCCGGGAAAGCCTCATCGTCGAGTCGCATGACTCATTCGGGAGGTTACCTGCCAGGTTCTTCGCAGCGGTGTGCGGCGATTGCTCTGTACGTTCCAACCGAATCATCGTAATTTTTTGTCAAACCTGACCAAGTTTGAACGGCGACACCGGCACGCGACGGCCTTGCTCTCGCCAACGACGTCGCGGGGATCTTTTGCGGATGTATCCAACTAACAGCTAGTAAATGGCGAGTCCATTTTTTCAAATTCAGAACGCGACGCCGGCACGCAATGGTCTGCTCTTCGCCAGACTTCACGGGATGGGTGGTCGGGGGGGGGGGGGCGGTCATTGACGTCCACTGTGGCATGAAGTTCGTTTACGGTTAAGCACGCAAGCCGCAGTATTGACTTGGGAGCGCGCCCGCCAGGTTCAAACCGCGAACCCTTTTCCGCAAGAAGCGGCAGAGGGTTGGCGGGTTTGTGCTGCCGCTGGGTCCGCGTCGTGTCTTCTGCCGTGGTTTTCGTCTAAAAGTGTACGATCTTTGCGTTGTGGTTCGTCCCCCCCCCCCGCCCCCCTTTCACTCAAAGTCAGTCAAACCCAGGTCTGCCTTTCAAAATAGACCCTGGATGTCAATGGGCTCTGCTTACCTGGTCCTAAGACAACAGACGAGACAGACAGACAGATGTTGTATCTATGGTTTGGACAAGGAGCACTGCAACGTACGCGACACGCATTTAGACGTGTACAGCAAATAGAAAACGAGACGCGTGTGATGATGTCCTTCGGGCTGTGACCTGTGCAAGAAATTTGCGTCACCCGTTGTGTGGATTTCTATTTAGAACATGATAAGACTATGTTGGTATGCAGGTACTGTCAGTATTATTATACAATAAGTGGCGCATTATGAGCGGTGGTTCATCGTGGATTTGTTCCACGCTGATAGTTTTGTGGTGACTTGGAGGTGACAGTAGTGCCGGCCCAGTGGCTGGGCCAGGTCTGCGGCTATGGCTGCGGTTCGAGCTCGGGGTAGGGTCAGAGTTCGAGCTAAAATGAACAATTTTTTATTTGACCAGGTAAGGCCCATTCAATTATGTAGCTCTTTTTTCAGAAGCGACCTGGCCAAACATAATAGTTCAACTCGAAGTGGCTTATCATGTGGACATTTGTAGCAGCCAAATACTGTCAACCCATGTTGATTCTAAATGTGGAGAGACAACCCAGAGGACTCAGAGGAAAATCCACGCAACCACGGGGAGAACATGAAAAGTCCAACTATACAGGCGTCAGGGTCGGGATCGAACCCACGACCACCCGCATATCAAGCGAGGTAGTTAACATCTCGCCACCATGGCTAGGGGTAGGATTAGTGTTAGAGTTAGGGCTAAAGTTGCGAGTATAGTTAGTGCTGGAATAGAGGCTAGTCATGGCACTGGTTGGGGCTAGCATTACTCATACCTCCAGAGTTATTAGAATTAGGGTCAGTGCCCGCGCTAAGGTTAGCAGAGTTATGGTTAGAGTTGGTGTCACAATTAGGGCTATGGTAATGGTAATATTTTGGTGCTAGGAAGATGGTTAGTGTTATGGTTAAGGTGAGTGCTGGGATTAGTGTTTGGGTCACCATTAGAGCTAGGCTTAAGGCAGGCATGCCAGCGTGGGTACAGCCGGGCTGTGAGTGGGGGTTAATCCTACCGGGTTAGTCGGCCTCCTGCTTGGCGCGGGGGAATGCTGGGGGAGAAAGGGGGAAGCACCGGGCTGTTAGCGTCCACTCTGCACTCACCACATACTCACCACGCACTCTCCACACCACGCTCACACGCACAGCACCCGGGTACAGCAGCCCAGGGCGCTTGATGATCCGACACTTACCAATTCACTCAGGTCACTCGCTCACTGGCAATCGGTTGCCTCCTTAGCACTTATGTTCATTGGTGAATACTTGAGCTGGTCCCAGGCCTCCCCTAGGTCAAATCAACCTTCAGTGAGTACCCTGGCGTGGTGTGGAAACATCACCGCTGGAGAGACAAAGGTGGCCGGGCATGCATCGTGGCGGCCACACCACCTGGTGCGCCGTGCCGGCCTTCATAGGTGCTCGCGAGCAGCACTTGCCCCAACAGCCTGCCAAAGGCCACACGGGGGACCTTTGTCCTTGGGGGGGGCGGTGAGTGTGAGGTCGTCACGCCTCACCCGAGCCGCTGTCGGTGATCCCCTCGGTGCCCGGGATGCCGTCCGGGAACTCCGCGTGAGACGCCAGGCCCTCTTTCCCTTCCTCGCCCGCAGCCTCCTTCACCTCGCCCGCCTCCTCCTTCACCTCGCCCGCCACCTTCGCTTCGTCATCCGGTGTCTGGGGGCGGGGAGACGGGAGGCGCGGGGGGGGGATATGGTGAGCAAGCGTTGTAGCCAGAGGCCGATCTGGGGGGGGGGGGGGGTGGCGATTTTTATTTTGTTATTAAGGGGGCCCCCTTAAATTAATAAAATCACGCGCCGCACCGTTTCACTCCACTCACTCGCTCAACAGCGGTTGGTTCGTCTCCCTATCACTCTTCTGTAGCTGCTACCACTGCTGCTGCTGCTGTTGCTGCTGCGGACCTCACTCGTTGATTCCTCCTCCACCCGTGTTGAGGACTCGGTCTCAGCCAGACGCTGACCGTTTTAGTCTGAACCACCACACAATGTGGTGGACCGGTGTTCACGTGAACAGCCCGGAGCTGTCTGCGGACCTTATTCAGTAATGTCAACAACATCCAACACAGCCGACTAGTCAGGGTTGTCACGTAAACAGAACGTGCCAATCCGTCACGAGTACAGCACACCGGTGGAGAGCCAAGCCACGACATTTACAATCTTGAATACGACGTTTCGCGAGTAATTACAACCAGCTTCATCAGGCGGCAGCAAGATTTGTGGAGAAGTCCTCCTGTTTCGTTCCTTAAACAGGGGTAGATGTAGGTAGAGGGGTAGGGTTTAACGAAATTCACATATTTACGCGATCTAACCCAAAGAAAAAGCAGTGTTATGGATGACATTGGTCGCGAAAGCCTACTACGTGTTAAACTGTCTTATGAGGTTCACAATGGCCGTGTCGTAGCGCTAATCTAGCAACACTACGATCCAGATGTGCATGAACAATCAGAATCATAAGTACAGACGCACAATCGCATACACGCGCACTCGCATACACATTATTACGCACAATTGCGAGTGCACATCACATACACACAATCACGCGTGCACATCACATACACACAATCACGCGCGCACATCACATACACACAGTCACGCGTGCACATCACATACACACAATCACGCGTGCACATCACATACACACAGTCACGCGCGCACATCACATACACACAATCACGCGTGCACATCACATACACACAATCACGCGCGCACATCACATACACACAGTCACGCGTGCACATCACATACACACAATCACGCGTGCACATCACATACACACAATCACGCGTGCACATCACATACACACAATCACGCGTGCACATCACATACACACAGTCACGCGTGCACATCACATACACACAGTCACGCGCGCACATCACATACACACAATCACGCGTGCACATCACATACACACAATCACGCGCGCACATCACATACACACAGTCACGCGTGCACATCACATACACACAATCACGCGTGCACATCACATACACACAATCACGCGTGCACATCACATACACACAATCACGCGTGCACATCACATACACACAATCACGCGTGCACATCACATACACACAATCGCGCGTGCACATCACATACACACAATCACGCGTGCATATCACACACACACAATCACGCGCGCAGCGTGGTACTCACCGGAAGATCGGAGTTCTCTGAAAAGAACCAGTCGCACTGTGGTGGAGGTGGAGAGGAGACGGGGGGGGGGGTGCAGGGGAAGGGGGGGGAAGCACTCGGAGTTAATTTATTTAATTGGCGTTTGTCGTGAGCGGTGAGCGACCCCCGTCTCAGCTGCATGCGTAATGGGGTCACGAGGTGACAGGGTATAGCCCGGCAAACGATATCGGGAGTAATGCGATAACGGGACAGCTGGTAAACGAGGTAATGGGTTGCAGGGGTAACCGGGTGACCGGGTGACGAGATAAAATGGGTAAGTGGGGGGTGACGAACGTGTCGTATGAGCGACTCCACGAGGCGGTTGTGCTCGGCCATGTTGGCCATGAGCTTGGTGAGGGAGCCGCACGGAGGGCGCAGGACGGTCTGGCCGAACACGATCGCCAGGTTGTGTGCGTCCATCTAACACGCACCACACACACACACGCATCACACAGACACGCATCACACACACACACGCATCACACACACACAGACACTTCAAACACACACGCATCACACACACGCGCATCACACAGACACACGCACGCATCACACACACACGCATCACACGTGCTCACACACGTCACACGCGCTCACACTCACACGCACATCACACACATCACATACACAAAGATGACACACGCACAGCACATGCACACTTAGATCCCCCGTATAGCCTTAAGATCACCAAGTTGTGTGCGTCTATCTAACACGCATGCACATCACACACATATCACACACACATCATATACACACGCACACACATCATGCACACATCACACACACATCACACACACATCATGCACACATCACACACACATCACACACACATCACACACATCATACACACACATCACACACGCACACACATCACACACACATCACACACATCACACACACAGTTTGTTAAGGCTACACGGGGGGGGAGGGGGGGGCTTTGCCTTCGGCGCGGCTCACCTTGTTGTGCTGTGCGTGCTGGGCCACCTTCTGCAGGTGTTTCGCCAGGAACCTGAGCGTGTGGTAGTGGTGGCCGGGCATCTCCTGCACCTACATCGCAACAACAACAACAAGGACAACAACAACAAGGTCGATGGTAGAAACCCATCAACAAAAACGCTCGTCAATTGCGGCAATCACAACGCTCATCAGCGACTACTCAAATACACAGAGAAAGGTCGACACAGTCCTCAGCAATGCCAACGACGTAACATCAACAAGGAGAACAAACGGCGATGTTCAAAGCATCAACAACAACAACAACGACAACAACTTAACAAGCTTTGGCAGCAACAACAACAACAGCAGCAACTACTTCATCAGCGATGTGGTGAACAACATGAACGATCAGAATCTGAATATATATTTATACTGCAGGAGAAATCCGATCAGCTATGAAGCTCTTTCTACACAGATGGTCCAGTCGGGGCGCGGGGTAAGAACGTTTCACCAACAAACAACACAACAAACATGGCAGCCGTGCAAAGCACAAGCCAGGTTAAACAAATCGCACGATGGTAAGCGACAAGGCGTAGGAGCGTGCCAGTCTGGGTGCATAGCAGCAGCAGCAGCAGACTGCACAACAGATACAATTGAACCACTTTCCCGTTGCGAGACGTCTACAAGTTGCGGGGTGGGTGGGGGTGTGCCACTCACCGCCGAAATCTTTTACTTGCGGAGGCGAAGGCGCCACCGTTGTTTTTAGAGGCGTTGTTACTCACCGCAGACAACCCTGGCGACACGACCGCCCGCACTCTGCGATAGCCGGCGCCAAAACTGCCACGCGCGCAGCCCCTAACGCGTGGTCCCCGTGGGAGCCTCGGTACCCATGAACTTGTTTTTAGTTTTATTTTTTCCCCCTCTAGTTCCGTTCACCGACGGATGTACAATGCTCCCAGCCTCGCCTAAACCCACCGGCATCGCACAGCTGAATGTGTCGCCGTTATTGTTGCTGTTACCGTCGGTGTTTGTTAGCCGGCAGTAGTGGCTACGCACGTGGCCTGCATAATCGAGCAAGGGTTGGTGGATCACACACAGACGGGCTGCGAGACTGCGTCCCCCGCGTACCCTGGCTCGCCAGGAGAAGGCGGCACAGCAAAACAACGCGGACATCCAACCTCTTCCATCTGCACGGGGATACAGCGTTGCCCCCTCGCATGCGCGGATTTTCTACGAGTGCCCCAGTTTTCCTCGCACACCTATACACGTTTCATTAATTGGCTGAAAACGTTTGATACATAGAGGGCCGCAGAGCTTCGGCAATTGTTGGTCGCGCCAGCCCCTCACCGCTAATTGGCCGCTTCTGCTGCGGCCTTGCCGCTCGTGCCTGTGGCAGCGGTGAAACGGAGGCAAGCGGCTTCACCCTCACTGGAACTCATCGCTGCAAATGCTCGTTACCTCTGGGCAAGCACACAATGTGAAGGAGAGCCCTCTTCATGTGTCGGCTCACAGAGGCATAGTGCAGCAGTGAACAGCAGCAGCAGCACCTTCACCCTGATCGTTATTGTCATCATCGTCACCCTGATCGTCATTGTCATCATCGTCACCCTGATCGTCATTGTCGTCATCGTCACCCCGATCATCGTCATCATCACCCCGATCGTTGTCATCGTCGTCATCGTCGTCATCATCACCCCGATCGTCAGCAGTGTGCGGCCCCCTCACCCGCTGCCGCAGGGCGCGCAGTCTCTCCGCCGGCTGCGCCCTCTGGTTCGCCTCGATGAGGGCCTTGTACTTGCCTAGCGGGAGGCAGTGACATCGTCGTCAACACCTCGCCCGTCACCGCGTCAAGTGAAGCATCGACCATGAATCACGCCACCCCCAGGGTCGACCTCGCAGCGCCAGCGGCTCCCCCGGGCTGCCCGTCGAACGAAGACGGTAACACTGCATCGTCGCGCGGGGCCGTCTGGAACGCTCTGCCTTCCGACGTGATGAGGCCACTGGAACTCGGGGAAATGTTTAATCATCTTCGTCGTCATCTAGACTGACAAACGCATTTCTTTACAACCACTTTGCGTGTTCAGTTTGATTGTCCTTTGCACCCGCAACTCGGATTAGCACGGCAGGCTGCGTTCCGGTACGAACGAAGTTCAACGCACGTGCCGAGGTCTGTCAAGCCGTGCGGTTCGCCTCGTGTTCTTGTGCAGGAACAGCGAGTGTTCACGTCCACGCGGCGTACAGCCGTCTCAATACGGGCACACGTTTAGTAAAAATAAATCGTCTGCTTGTTTGTGTTTCTCGACCTTGTGATGGGACTTTGCAGGATGAACGTTGAGACTTATAAGGGGCACGGGGTGACCAATACGGTCTGAATTAGTCTGTAAAAAGGTAGGCCCCTGGCAAGGGGTTGACAGGCATGTACGTCCCACATCACCGCCAGGCGGCGGCAGGGTGGCCACAGCGTAGCGGTGGCACTCGCGACTCGCGGCACTCAAGCCTGGGTTCGATCACCGACTGGGGCGCCTCTCCACGTGGAGTTTGTACGACCCCCCTCCTCTATTCTGCAGAGTGCGTGAGTACGAGGAGCGTGTGAGTGTCAGAGTGTGTGAGAGAGTGAGTGTGAGAGTGTGTGAGTGTGAGTGTGTGTGAGTGAGTGAGTGAGTGTGAGAGTGAGTGTAAGTGTGAGAGTGAGTGTAAGTGTGAGAGTGTGAGAGTGAGAGTGAGTGTGTGAGAGTGTGAGAGTGTGAGAGTGAGTGTAAGTGTGAGAGTGTGAGAGTGAGTGTGAGTGTGAGAGTGTGTGAGAGTGTGAGAGTGTGAGAGTGAGTGTGAGTGTGAGAGTGAGTGTAAGTGTGAGAGTGTGAGAGTGAGTGTGAGAGTGTGAGAGTGTGTGAGTGAGTGTGAGAGTGTGAGAGTGAGTGTAAGTGTGAGAGTGAGTGTAAGTGTGAGAGTGTGAGAGTGAGTGTGAGTGTGAGAGTGTGTGAGAGTGTGAGAGTGAGTGTGAGAGTGAGTGTAAGTGTGAGAGTGTGAGAGTGAGTGTGAGAGTGTGTGAGTGAGTGTGAGAGTGTGAGAGTGAGAGTGTGAGAGTGAGTGTGAGTGAGAGTGTGAGAGTGAGTGTGAGAGTGTGAGAGTGTGTGATTGAGTGTGAGAGTGTGACAGTGTGAGTGTGAGAGTGTGAGTGTGAGAGAGTGTGTGAGAGTGTGAGAGTGAGTGTGAGTGAGTGTGTGAGAGTGTGAGTGTGAGAGTGTGAGAGTGTGTGAGTGAGTGTGAGAGTGAGAGTGTGAGTGAGTGTGTGAGAGTGAGTGTGTGAGATTGTGAGAGTGTGAGAGTGAGTGAGTGTGAGTGAGAGTGTGAAAGTGAGTGTGAGTGAGTGTGTGAGAGTGTGAGAGTGTGAGTGTGAGAGTGTGAGAGTGAGTGAGAGAGTGTGAGAGTGTGAGAGTGAGAGTGTGAGAGTGAGAGTGAGTGTGTGAGAGTGTGAGTGAGTGTGTGAGAGTGTGAGAGTGAGTGAGTGTGAGTGAGAGTGTGAAAGTGAGTGTGAGTGAGAGTGTGAGAGTGTGAGAGAGAGTGTGAGAGTGTGAGAGTGTGTGTTGTGCTGTGTGCGCTATGAACCCGGCGACCCGACTTCGATTCTCGCTCACGGCCACCAACACCCAGTAATGATAATACGAACCGGTCACTGAGCCTCTCCTATGTCGACTCAGCCTGAAATGAGTACCTGGTGTCGTGTGTAAACATCGCCACTCGGGAGACAAAGGCGGTCGGGTGTGGTGCTGGCCACCCACCCCCTCGTGTACCGTTCTGGCCTTTATATATGCTCGCTAACAGCACTTGCCCCAAAAGTCTGTTAAGGCTACACGGGGGATCTTTGTCTTTGTGTTTTTGACGGTGTGCAGTCTGTATGCTATCTCCCTGTGTTGTAGAGAGTGAGTGAGAGTGTGAGTGAGAGTGTGAGTGAGTGTGAGTGAGAGTTAGAGTGTGAGTGACAGTGTGAGTGAGAGTGTGAGTGAGTGTGAGTGAGAGTTAGAGTGTGAGTGAGAGTTAGAGTGAGTGAGTGTGTGAGAGTGAGTGTGTAGGTGAAAGTTAGTGAGAGTGATGGTGAGTGAGTGATGGTGAGTGATGGTGAGTGAGTGATGATGAGTGAGTGATGGTGAGTGATGGTGAGTGATGGTGAGTGAGTGATGATGAGTGAGTGATGGTGAGTGATGGTGAGTGAGTGATGGTGAGTGATGGTGAGTGATGGTGAGTGAGTGATGGTGAGTGATGGTGAGTGAGTGATGATGAGTGAGTGATGGTGAGTGATGGTGAGTGATGGTGAGTGAGTGATGGTGAGTGAGTGATGGTGAGTGATGGTGAGTGAGTGATGGTGAGTGAGTGATGGTGAGTGATGGTGAGTGATGGTGAGTGAGTGATGGTGAGTGAGTGATGGTGAGACGCCCTGCTCACCTTCAGTGAGCAGGGCGTCTGGCAGCTTCTGCAGGAAGGACTTGAGCAGGGAGCTCACCACGTTGGGGTCATGCCACCTCTGACGCGCACCCACACAGAGACCTCTCACTCCCCCCTCTCACCCCCACCCTCTCACCCACACAGAGACCTCTCACTCCCCCCTCTCACCCCCACCCTCTCACCCACACAGAGACCTCTCACTCCCCCCTCTCACCCCCACCCTCTCACCCACACAGAGACCTCTCGCTCCCCCCTCTCCCCCCCACCCTCTCACCCACACAGAGACCTCTCACTCCCCCCTCTCACCCCCACCCTCTCACCCACACCCTCTCACCCACACAGAGACCTCTCACTCCCCCCTCTCACCCCCACCCTCTCACCCACACAGAGACCTCTCACTCCCCCCTCTCACCCACACCCTCTCACCCACACAGAGACCTCTCACTCCCCCCTCTCACTCCCCCCTCTCACCCCCACCCTCTCACCCACACAGAGACCTCTCACTCCCCCCTCTCACCCCCACCCTCTCACCCACACAGACACCTCTCACTCCCCCCTCTCACTCCCCCCTCTCACCCTCTCACTCCCCCACCCCCTCACCCTCCCCCCCCACCCTCTCACCCACCCACCCTCTCACCCTCCCCCCACCCTCCCACCCTCTCACCCTCCCACCCTCTCACTCCCCCCACCCTCTCACCCTCCCACTCTCTCACTCCCACCACCCTCACCCTCCCCCCACCCTCTCACCACCATCTCACTCCCCCACCCTCTCACCCTCCCCCCACCCTCTCACTCCCCCCCACCCTCTCACCCCCCCCACCCTCCCCCATCCTCCCACCCTCTCACCCCCCCCCCACCCTCTCTTGTACATGCTTCATGTGCAGACTATTTTGCACAAGATGATTTGTTTACATTGTGCAGAAGCCACGGCGTGTTGCTTCTCGTGAGAATCAAGACGGATTTTAAAAGCCAAAAAGCCTCCCTCTCTCGCTGTCTCTCCGTATCCCACACCTGCCCTGTGCAGTCTGAGTCTCTGTCTGTCTCCGTGTCCCCCTGTCCCACATCTGCTCCGTGGACTCTCTCTCTGTCCCGTGTCCCCG